AAAAAAGAAAAGAGAAACGAATGAGTTTCTCATCATGTGTTATGTCTTCACAGTTCTTTGTATATGTAGTGTTTTCTCAGACCAATCAATCTGTACTAGTCTCCGACAATATTTGCATAAGAAAATGAAGTAGACACCAAGGCTTTTGCCGCATCACATTCCATGAGCAAATTCACTGGATCATGGATCTTGTGTCACTACAGGTAAATAGCACACCAAGGAGTCGCACGCATTGTTACCATCCTACTAATTACCAGCGCATACATCACGCTTCAACAATGGGACAAAACACATGAATAGGCTGCCGAAAAAGCTTAGCAGAGTTCACCCAAGGTCTTGAGCTTATTAACAAAGCAGTCTTGGACTGTAGTACATCACTCTCATAGAAAGTTCTGTAGCTGTTCGGCTGGTTCATGGACCTTCAAAGGAGTAGAACCTAGCCGCGAAGGAGGAGTTCCCTCACTCTATGTACCTATCCTATGTACCTACCTATATCTATAAATGGCAAATGGCATTGCTTCCCTCAAGTGTGACACCTTAAAGCAAACTTTGGGGCCAGTGGTTGAGCGGTCATTGATGCTTGCCTTCTTGCGACACAACTAGGTGAGGTAGGGAGCCAGTTCCTAAACAAGCGCCAGTAGTTGCAGAGTTTATGCTGCGTTACGCACGAAGTCAATGTTGCTTCACTACAACAGTCGGGTGTCGTCGTGCCTTATTTTTTTTCATCTTTTTTTTTTTTTTATCTCGTTATTGGACAGACGGGGTTTGTTCGATGCTCTCGGGCAACGCTTATACGCATCTTGTTGGCATCATTATCTTTCATCCTCGTGGGCAGAATACCACCTACAAATCTTATGTTAGAGTGTAGCATGTCAAAGAGCTACAAACATAGTGATTTCTGTATGATTCACTGCGAAATGCTCATGGCTTACAGCAGAGTTGTGGATTTCACGAATGGAATTAGATAAAACAGCTACTGAAACAAGCAAGTACCTAGTAATCCTATGAACGCTGTGTAGGTGAATCAACCCACACGAGCTCGAAGTCCTGTTCAGTAAAAGGCGAATAGGAAAAGACCACAAACCACATAATCTGACAACGCTACTACAACAAATCCCAGTGCTTGCCTTAAATGACCAACAACCAAGCCGCAGTTCCTGCAAATCCGACAATAACTCCACCCCAATAAAGGCCCGCCATGAGCAAATGTCCAAAGCAAATAACACCATCAATCAGTTCTCGAACTGACGCCACATCTTCATTCCGTATCGTCAGTTAGCCTGCTACTATCCTCGAAAGATTCATGCATCTTTCACTCGTCCTCACGGTGCCATTCCTCAACCGCAGACACATCCTCGCCACCATCATCGTCCGACTGGTCCATCTCAACCATGTCATACTCTCCATCCGAGTCTGACTCGTCCTCTTCGTCGCTTCTTCTCTTTGGCGACGTTCCGCCAACCTCCGACATCTCCGCCTCCGACGACCTGAAAAACGGATGTTCAGCGCTCAACTTCCGGCGCTGACACACGTATCCCATAGGGGTATGCGTGATGTCCTGTCCGCGTCTCCGCTGTGTGAGCCAGTCGAGGACGAAGGCGAGAGGATTCTTGGCAAATTCGACTTCAGTGTGGCCATTAACAAGTGAAGACGTTGGTTTGCAGTTGTCGTCGGCGCCTTCTCCTTCTGCTTCATTGACTCTGTCCGCTTGGAGATACTTGACAATGGCGCCGTACTCGGTGAAGTCAAAGTAAAGACGACCGGCGAGGATTCCGATCTCGATTGTAAGCCAGTCTGGAATTTTGGTGCTTTTAGGTAGCGAAGGGAAGGCGTAATAGGTAAGTCGGCCTAGCGAGGTCATGTTTCGCGTGACTGGCGAAGCGTAGGGAATGAGATGGACCGGGCTGCGGTTTTCAGCGGCACGCAACATGGGGATTGCCATTTCGGCTTCCTCAGGAATGAGGACCAACGCCGTCTGAGTGCGGGGAGCGTAGAGAATCCATTCTACGGGTCTCTGCAATATCGCATCAGTTAGCTGATTGACTACTCTTTGACATGATTAGTGAAGACTTACAAAGAAGTTATCGCTTGGGTCTTTGCTGGCTGAAATAGTGCGCCGGAACTCGGATGACACATAGAATTTCGAGCCCGTTGAGCGAACCTCATACTTTCTCCCCAATGTGGTCCTTCCTAGGGCGGTGAAGGCATGCTCATAGCCATCCGTGCCCCGTAGCACACCCTTCTTTATGAACCTCAGGATGTTTGGATGCATCCCAGGAAATTCCAAGGCATCGTGGTGAATGGGTTTGCGCACCTGGCGGATCTCCTCAACCTGAAACTCGACTTCGCGCTCCTGCTCTACTTCATCAAGAGCACAAGCAAGGGCCTCGGACGTAGTATGGGTAAGGTCTTTCTTCTTCTTGGTGAGCGTTTCGTAGAAGGATCGCAGCTTCGAATTTGTAATTGCCGGAAGACCAACATCCAAACCCGAACTTTGCGCTTTGCTTCCATAGATTTCCTTCAGCGTCGAGCACTCCTTTTGAAGGATCACGCTCGTATGAGCGTCGCGGTGCTTCGTTGAACCAACATAATTTGGATTCTCCAACGCGGAGTTCATCCTCTTGCAGAAGTCCGTTCCTTGTGCCACATACAATGGGCGAAGACTTTCGTTAGCACGACAGGTCATTTCAAGGAGCCACCGTACGCAATGTCCAGAGTCGATATGGTGTAGCCAAGAGAGCTGGCACACCTTCCGAATGTCGTGATCGACCTCAGGTGGCGCACAGAAGACTATTGACTGCGTTGTGCCCAGTTGTCGAAGTCTCATAGCGGCTTGAACAGTATGATCTTTGGTCTGATTCAATGCCAATGTCAGAGCTCCACAAGCGGCTTGTGGTAATTTGAGATCTGTCCCGCGGGTGTGCGCTTCGTCGAGGTACACCAGGCAGTCTTCCAGGTTTTCAGCATATGGGGTGGCTAGCAATGGAACCGGCTTTCTGGACCCGCGGGACAGCACCATGGCTTTGTTGTCTTCATTGAAAAAGACTGCCGCCGGGCTGTAAGTGTCATAACTCAGCCATTCTTTTACCACTTCCTGGTTTCCCTTCTCCAGCACAAACGCACCGGCATCAATGAGAATCCGTATTCTTTTCTGTGACAAGCGTCTAAGAAGCTCAGACTCCGTTAGTCTTCTCCCAGCTTGTCTCCCGTAATGTTCAGCCAGCTTCTCGTACCCCCTGTTTCTTCCCTCAAGAAGATACGTGAGGACTTCGGCATTGGTCTGTGACAAACTGGGGAGGTCATCTTGCTTGATGGTAAGTGGAAGCAAGTATTTGTTGTCATTCGTACCGCTGAAGCCAGTGGTCCGAGCTGATTGTGCTTGCT